AGTGAGGTTGGGCCCTTCCTGGCCTTTGAGATCGAAATCCTGGAGGTTCTACTGGGAGGTGGGACTGGGGGGACTGGGAGGGACTGGGAGGTGCTCAGGGGGAAACTGGGGGTGGGGGCTGAGAGGACTGGGGGAAGAATGGGGGCATTGGGAGGGACTGGGTGGACTGAGAAAGGAGACTGGGGGGATTGTGAGGGAGTGGGAGTGGAAACTGGGTGGACTGGGATGGAAACTGGGGAGACTGGGAGGACTGGAGGGGCACACTGGGAGAGGGTGAGAGGACTGGGAGAGGAGCCTGGGGGCACTGGGAGGGGCTGAAGGGCCACTAGAGGGCGCTGTGGGACAATACTGGTCTATGTTGGGATGTACAGAGAGGTGCTGGTGGAGCACTGGAGGGGCATAAGAGCACCATGGGGGTCCCTGGGCCATACTGGGAGGGGGGTTGGGCCATACTAGGGGGAACTGGGATATGCTGGACCATACTGGGGTGAAGCTAGAGGGGGCCCTGAGTTATACTGGGGAGCACTGGGATGTACTGGGCCATACTGGGGTGGCACAGTGGGGACCCTGAGTCACACTGGGAGAGCCTGAGACTGAACTGGGCCGGACTGGGAAAGCTGGGGGGTGTGTGTGGGGGGGTGTGAGCTGCGCTGGAGGCGTTACTGGTGTGTACTGGTTGTTACTGGTGCTGACTGGTCCCAACTGGGCGGCAGAGGTGGCCCCGGGGGGCGTGGCCAGGTGCTAGGGCGGGGCAGCTGCCCGCTGAGGGTCCGCCCCCCTCAGAGGATCCTGCTGATGGGGCGGGGATGGACACCAATGGATGGTGAGAAGGGACCCAAATGTCCCCAAAGGTCCCCGAAGGTCCCCATGTCCCCCCCATCCCCATGTCCCCAAGTGTCCCCCGTGTCCCCCCATGTCCCCAAGTGTCCCCCGTGTCCCCCCATGTCCTGAAAAGTCCTCAAGTATCCCCAAATGCCCCCCATGTCCCCAACTGTCCTCAATTGTCCCCAAATGTCCCCATGTGCCACATGACCCCAAGTGTCCCCAAATATCCCTCATGTCCCCCATGTTCCCCCATGTCCTCAGCTGTCCCCAAATAACCCCGTGTCCCCAAATGTCCCCCATGTCCCCCTGTGTCCCCATGTCCCCCCCATTTCCCCAACTGTCCCCCATGTCCCCCCATGTCCCCATGTCCCTCCATTTCCCCAACTGTCCCCCATGTCCCCCTGTCCCCCCAAATATCCCCAAATATCCCCAAATGTCCCTCATGTCCACCCATGTCCCCAAATATCCCCAAATGTCCCCCATGTGTCCTTCATGTGTCCCCATGTCCTCAACTGTCCCCAAGTCTCCCCAAATGTCCCCCCATGTCCCCCATATTCCCAAGTGTCCCCAAATGTCCCCAAATGTCCCCTGTGTCCCCATGTCCCCAAATGTCCCCCATGTGTCCCTCATGTCCCCCCCTGTCATCAACTGTCCCCAAATGTCCCCCAATGTCCCTGTGTCCCCAAGTGTCCCCAACTGACCCCAACTGTCCCCCCGTGTCCCCCCGTCCCCGTGTCACCGTCCCCCCCAGCCCCCAGTTCCTGCTGGGTCCCCACCCCTGGGTGGAGGAGGTGCCGCCCCGCCCCCGCTGCGCCCCAGCCACGCCCTGCCGCCCCCTGCTGGACTTCCTGCACACCCTGCGCCCCCTCGGCTGCCCCGCCTGACCCCGCCACCGGGAGCCACTGGGAACATACCACGAGCCACTGGGACCACGCTGGGGGGGCCAACTGGGAGCCACTGGGAGCAACTGGGACCATGCTGGAAGAAACTGGGACCATACTGGGAGGAAGTGGGATTATGGGGAGGGGGGGTAACTGGGACCATGCTGGTGCAACTGGGAGTTACTGGGAGCAAGTAGTACCACACTGGAAGTGACTTGGACCATACTGGGGGGAAGTGAGATCATGCTGGGGGGCAACTGGGAGTGACTGGGAGTGTGCTGGGGGCGCACTAGGAGCAACTGGTATCAGACTGGGAGGAACTGGGAGCAGTGTGGACCAAACTGGAAGCAACTGGGAGTGACTGGAGGTGCCTGTGACCGTGCTGGGGGAGACTGGGATATACTGGGAGAAACTGGAACTATGCTGTGGGCAACTGAGTTCATACTGGGAGCCACTGGGAGCACACTGGGAGGAACTGGGACCATGCTGGGGGTAACTGGGATCATACTGGGAGCCCCTGGGATCATACCGGGAGCACACTGCGGGTGAACGGGAGTGACTGGGAGAAAGTGGGATCACCCTGAGGGTGACTGGGAGTGAGTGGGAACATGCTGGGGGCAACTGGGATATACTGGGAAGTACCCAGTGGGTGACTGGGATCATACTGGGAGTGACTGGGAGCATGTTGGGGGCAACTGGCAGCATGCTGGGGGCAACTGGAAGCAACTGGGAATGTGCTGGGGGGCATATTGGGATCACACTGAGAGAAACTGGGAATACACTGAGGGCAACTGGGATCATATTGGGAATATACAGGGGATATAATAGGAGTGACTGGGATCGTACTGGAGGTGACTGGGAGCAACTGGGAGTGATTAGGAACATGTTGGGTGAGACTGGGATCACACTGGGAGCAACTGGGACTATACTGTGGGCAACTGAGGTCATACTGGGAGCAACTGGAATCATACTGGTAGGGATGGAAGCAACTGGGACCACGCTGAGAGCAAATGGGATCATACTGGGAGCAGCTGGGCTCATGCTGGGAGCAACTGGGGGTGACTGGGATCATACTGGGAGTGACTGGGACTATGCTGTGAGCATCTGGGGTCATGGTGGGGGCAACTGGGAACGACTGGGAGTGATTTGGAACATGCTGAGGGCAACTGGGATATACTGGGAGCAACTGGAACTACATTACAGGCAATTGGGATCATACTGAGAGCAATGAGAATCGTACTGGTAAGTAATGGGAGTGACTGAGGTCATGTTGGAGGCAACTGGGATATAGTGGGAACAACTGGGACCGTGCTGGGGGCAACTGGGAGTGACTAGGCTCACTCTGGGGGCAACTGGGATCATAGTGGGTTGACAGGAAGCATGCTGGGGGCAACTGGGAGTGATTAGGAGCATGCTGGGGGCAACTGGGATCACACGGGGAGCAGCTGGGCTCATGCTAGGGTCAACTGGAAGTGACTGGAACCATACCGGGAGTGACTGGGATCATATTGGGAGTGACTGGGAGTGACTAGGAGCACACTGGGGGCAACTGGAACTGGTGTGGGCAACTGAGATCATACTGGGAGCAACTGGAGTAATATTTAGAGGGACTGGGAATGACTGGGAGCATGCTAGGAGTAACTGGGAGTGTTTGAGGGCATGCTGAGGGCAACTGGGATATACTGGGAGCAACTGGAACTACGCTATGGGCAACTGGGATCATACTGGGAGTGACTTGAATCATACTGAGAGTGACTTGAATCATACTGGGAGTGACTGGAACCATGTTGGGTGTGACTGGGAGCAACTGTGGTGATGGTAGGGGCAAATGGGAGTGACTGGGAGTGACTGGGAGCATGTTGGAGGCAGCTGGGACCATACTGGGAGTGACTGGGATCATGCTGGAAGTGGGATCATACTGGGAGGGATTGGGAGTATGCTGGGGGAAACTGGGATCATACTGGGAATATACAAGGGTCAACCTAGGAGTGACTGGGATCATACTGGGGGTGACTGGGAGAAACTGGGAATGATTAGGAGCATGTTGGGTGTAACTGAGATCATACTGGTTGTGACTGGGACTATGCTGTGGGCAACTGGGGTCATACTTGAAACAACTGAAGTCATACTGTGAGGGACTGGGAGCACGCTGGGGGCAGCTGGGATCATATTGGGAGCAACGGGAATCATATTGGGGACAACTGGGAGGGACTGGAAATGGCTGGGAGCATGCTGGGGGTGACTGGTATGTACTGGGAGCAACTGGAACTACTCTGGGAGCAACTGGGATCATACTGGGAGCAACTGGAATCATACTGGAAGTAGCTGGGACCATTCTGGGAGCAACTGGGAGTGATTGGGGGGCATGCTGGGGCAACTGGGATATACTAGGAGCAACTGGAACTGCGCTATGGGCAACTGAGATCATGCTGGGGCAACTGAAATCATACTGGGAGTGAGTGGAAGTGCTTAGGAGCATGTTAGGTGTAACTGGAATCATATTGGGAGCAACTGGGACTATGCTGGGGGCAACTGTGGTCACACTGGGAGCAGCTGGGCTCATGCTGGGAGCAACTGGAATTACATGGAACCAGACTGGGGGGAACTGGGATCACATTGAGGGAACTGGGAGCGACTAGGAGCACACTGGGGGCAACTGGGATACAGTGGGAGGAGCTGGGAGCACACTGCTGGCTGCCAGGATCGTACTGGGAGTGACTGGGAGCAACTGGGGTCACACTGGGGGCAAGTAGGAGTGACTGGAAGCATGCTAGGGGTGACTGAGAGCAACTGGGGTCACACCGGGAGCAACTGGGAGTGAGCGGGACCATGCTGGGAGCAACTGGGAGTGACTGGGGAAGAGTGAGTCCATTCAGGAGGTGACTGGGATCGTACTGGGAGCAAGTGGGACCACAGCGGGGGCAAACAGATGCGGCTGGGGAATCACACTGGTAATGACTGGGAGCATGTTGGGAGGAACTGGGATCATACTGGGACCAGAGTGGGGGGTGACTGGGGTCACACTGGGGGTGACTGGGAGCAACTGGGAGTGATTAGGAGCATGTTGGGTGTAACTGGGGTCATACTGGGAACAAGTACCTCCCCCCTTCCCCCGGGAAACGCTGAGCCAGCGCTCACCGTGGTGGGGGCGCGGATATGCAAATTTATGCTAATGGCCCCCGCTGTCTCTTCCCGCTCCGCGGCCGCCGAGTCACCATCGAGACGCGGCCTCCGACAGCGCAGAACGGCCGAGCGGCCGCCTATTGGTCGGGCCGTGGGAGCGGCGGGCGGAAGTGGCGTCAGGGGCCGGGAAGTTTGAATCCATCCGAGCGGCAGCGACAGGTTTAGGGGGAGGCTCGGGGGGGGGCTCGGCCGTGACGTCACGGCGCGGGGATGTCATAGAGGGGGCAGGAAGGGGGAGCGGTGGGGAGTGACGTAGGCTGGGGGGGGGGGGCTTAGGGGCGGTTGGGAGGGGGGCACCGCGGGCCGGACCCCTCATTCTCCCCACCCCTCCCCCCCAAGGTGGGTGGAGCCTCGCCATGCCCCGCTCCAAGCCCGCCGCGCCCCGGCGCCGCCGCGTCCCCGAGACCCCGCCTCCGGCCCCGCCTCCGGCCCCGCCCCCGGCCCGCCGGCCCCGTCGTGAGTGGAAGGGGAGGGGTTGGGACCCCCCCTATGGAACCCCCCTGTAGATCGCCCTGATCCTTCCCTGACCCCCTCCCCGGCCCTATAGAACCCCCCCAACCCCTATAGAACCCCCCTGACCCTATAGACCCTTCCCTGACATCCCCCCCAGCCCTATAGAGCCCCCCCGACCCTATAGACCCTTTCCTGACCACCCCCCCCGGCCCTATAGAACCGCCCCCCCACCCGGCCAATAAACCCTTCCCTGACCGCCCACCCACCCCAGCCCTATAGAACCTTCCCTGATCACACCCCCCCCGCCCTATAGACTCCCTCTGGACCCTATAGATCCTTCCCTAACCCCCCCCACCCTCCGGGCCCTATAGACCCCCCCCTGGACCTTATACATCCCTCTCTAAATCCCCCCTGGACACTACAGACCCTTCCCTGACCCCCCTCCACGGCCTTATAGACCCCTCTTGGACCCAATGGATCACTCCCTACCACCAGACCCTATAGATCTCCACACACCCTATAGATCCCTCCCCCTATAGATCCCCCCAACCCTATAAATTCCCCGATCCCCAGCCCTATAGATCCCTCCTACACCCTATGGGTCCCTCCCTACCACCCTGCATCCTATAGACTCCCCCAAACCCTATAGGTCCCTCCCAGACCCTATAGGTCCCTCCCTTTCCACCCTGGACCCTGTAGGTTCCCCCCCAGACCTTATAGTTCTCTCTCTTTCCCCAAACCCAGCCCCTATAGATTCCCCCGGGCCCCGTTGATCCCACCACCCCCTCCAGACCCTATAGATCTCTCCCAGCCCCTATAGAACTCCCGGGGAGAGGGACCCTATGGATCCCTGCCTCCCCCCAACCCTGGACTGGATGGATCCCTCTGTTATTCCCTGCCCTGGGCCATATAGATCTCTTTGGATCCTATAGTTCCCCCTGTCATCCTCCCTGGCCCTATGGATCCCTCCCAGACCCTATAGGTTCCCCCGTCCTCCCCCCCCAGCCCCTACAGATCCCTCTGTATCCCCCATGCAGCCCCTATAGATCCCTCCCAGCCGCGTCCCCTCACGCTGAGACCTAGAGATCCCCCGGCCCTGTGCCCTGAGTCCCCCCTGCCCCCCCCCTCCGTGTCCCCTTGGTGTCACCCCCTGTCATAGCCCTCCCCCAGTGCCAGCCCCACTGACGCTGTCCCTGTCCCCCCCCCCATACCCCATTGGTGTCCCCCCCAACACTGTCCCTGTCACACCTGTCCCCCTCCATGTCCCACTGTTGTGACCCCCCCAACACTGTCCCTGTCCCCCCCGTCCCACCCGCCCTGTCACCCCCCAATGCTGTCCCTGTTCCCCCGTGTCCCCCCTGTCCCCCCCGACGCTGTCCCTGTCTCCCCCTGTCCCCCCCGTCCCCCCTCCATCCCCCCCCGCCCCCCCCGAAGCTGTCCCTGTCCCCCCATGTCCTCCCCCCTCCCCCCCGACACTGTCCCTGTCCACCCATGTCCCCCCATTTCCCCTCCCCATCCCCCCCGACGCTGTCCCTGTCCCCCCATTTCCCCTCCCCATCCCCCCTGACCCTGTCCCTGTCCCCCATGTCCCGAGGGTTTCGCCCCGGCCAGCGGGCGCTGCAGGAGATCCGCAGGTACCAGAGCAGCACCCACCTGCTCCTGCGCCCCGGGCCCTTCGCCCGCCTGGTGAGCCCCAACACCCACCCCGGGGGGACACCAAAACCTCCCTGGGGGTCCCCAAAACTCATCTGCCCGCCTGAGCACCCCAGAACCACCCTGGGGGAACCCCAAAATCAATTCCCAGCGGAACCCAAAACCCACCCCAGGGGGGACCCCAAAACCAACCACCTTCCTGGGTGCCCCAAAACAACCCCGGGGGCACCCCAAAAGCACCACTAGGGACCCCCAAAACCCACCCACCTGCCTGGGCACCCCAAAACCACCCTGGGGAACCCTAAAACCCACCCTGGGGGCACCCCAAAACCCGCTCCCCCCTCAGGCGACACCCAACCCGCACCCACTTCCCTGGGCACCCCAAAACCCATCCCTGCGGAGACACCCCCAAACCCCCGTGGGGGACACCCCAAACCAACCCCCCCACACCCCCTTGGCACCCCTAAACCCCCCCCAGATCCCCTCCAGGACCCCCAACCCCCCCCCCAGCACCCCCAAACCTCCCAAAACCCCCCCCCGGAATCCCCCAGGCACCCCCAAACACCCCCCGGGTCCCCCACCTCCCCCAGCCCCCCAATGTCCTTGTCCCCTGCGATGACGTGGGTCCCCTCCCTCTGGCCTTGTCCCCTCTCCCCGGTGACGCAGTGGCCTTGTCCGCCTCCCAATGTCCTTGGGGTGTCCCAGTCCCCCCACCACCACAGTCCCTGGGGGGTACAGGCTGTCCCCTGTGCCCCTCCCCCCAGAGGGGCACTGTCCCCATGCCCAGGGGGTCCGCAAAATGTCCCCAAGGTGCCCCCCACATCCCTGCTGTCCCTCGCCCTGGGGTGGGGGGCCCCAACATGTCCCCAACGTGTCCCCAAAATGTCCCCAAGGTGCCCCCCACATCTCTGGTGTCCCTTGCCCTGGCGTGGGGGGGGTCCCCAAAATGTCCCCAAGGTGCCCCCCACATCCCTGCTGTCCCTCGCCCTGGGGTGGGGGGCCCCAACGTGTCCCCAGCGTGTCCCCAAAATGTCCCCAAGGTGCCCCCCACATCTCTGGTGTCCCTTGCCCTGGCGTGGGGGGGTCCCCAAAATGTCCCTAAGGTGTCCCCCACATCCCTGCTGTCCCTCGCCCTGGGGTGGGGTGTCCCCAGGTGTCCCTAAGGTGACACCCCAGGGTGTCCCCATGCTCGGGCTGTCCCCAGGGTACTCCCTCCCTCCCCCCCTCCCCCCACCATGGGGTTGTCCCCCCACCTGGGGTATCCCCACGGTGTCACTTGGGGTGTCCCCGTGTCCCCAGGTGCGGGAGATCTGCCTCATGTTTACCCGGGGGGTGGATTATCGGTGGCAGCGGATGGCGCTGGTGGCCCTGCAGGAGGTGGGTGCTGGGGGGGCCCGTGGGTGCTGGGGGGGGGGTCCTGTGGGTGCTGGGGGAGGCTCATGGGTGCTGGGGGTTCATTTGGGGGGGGGTCCTATGGGTGCTGGGAGGGATCTGGGAGGGTCCTATGGGTGCTGAGGGAGGGGAGGCCTCGGATGCTGGGGATTGATCTGAGGGGGCTTATGGGTGCTGGGAGGGTCCTATGGGTGCTGGGGGGAGCCCATGGGTGCTGGGGGGGCGGGTCTGGGGGGTTCTATGGGAGATAGGAAGGGTGTGGGGGAATTCTGTGGGTGCTGGGGGGGAACATCTGGGGGTGCTTATGGGTGCTGGGGGGGCCCATGGGTGCTGGGGGTTCATTTGGGGGGGTCCTATGTGTGCAGGGGGGGTCCTATGGGTGCTGGAGGGGGCCTGGGGGGTCCTATGGGTGCTTGGGGGGGGGAGTCTGGTGGGGGCGTCCCATATGGGTGCTGGAGGGATCATTTGAGGGGGTGTGGGGGTGTCTGCAGGGTGCTGGGGGGGCCCATGGGTGCTGGGATGGGTTTGAGGGGGTTCTGTGGGTGATAGGAGGAGATTGGGGAGGTTCTATGGGTGCCGAGGGGAGGCGCATCTGTGGGTTCATCTGGGGGGCTTATAGGTGCTGGGAGGGGCATCCTATGGGTGATGAGGGTGTCCTGTGGGTGCTGGGGGGGGGTCCCATAGGTGCTCAGATGGGTTTGAGGGTGTCCTATGGGTGTTTGGGGGGGTGTCTGGTGGGGGGGGATCCCTTATGGGAGCTGGGAGGAACATCTGTGTGTCTCCAGGGTGCTGGGGGGGCCATGGGTGCTGGGATGGGTTTGGGGGGGGGTTCTATGGGTGCTGGGGGGGGTGGGTATTAGAGGGGGGTTCCGTGGGTGGTGAGAGGGGTCTGGCTTTGGAGGGAGGTATCCCTGCCCCCCAGGGGTGTCCCCAAAGGGAGGGGGGGGGTGTTGGATTTTGGGGGGGGGGGGGGGGGCCCTGAGTTGTTTGTTGTTTTTTTTGGGGGGGTGGGCGCAGGCAGCGGAGGCGTTCACGGTGCGGCTGCTGGAGGACGCCTCGCTCTGCTCACTGCATGCCCGGCGCGTCACCCTCTACCCCAAGGACCTGCAGCTGGCCCGGCGCCTGCGCGGCTTCGAGGGGGGCCTGGCCTGAGGGGCGCCCCCCAAAAAAAAGATAAACCTCTTGGGGGGGTCACCTCCCCCACTCAGTCACCGAAACCCCCCCTTGAACAACACCCCCCCCCCCAATCCCTTCCCCTGGGGCACATGCCCGCTACAGAAACACCCTGCAGAGTGTGTGTGTGTGTGTGTGTGTGTGTGTGTGTGTCCCTCTTTATTAGGGATTCCCCCACCCCAAACATTGAGGACCCTATTGGGGACCCCCCCCCCGGGGATTCCACCCCAAAACCCCCAGCCATGGGGACCCTGCACCCCAATATCACCCCCAGAGACCCTCACGGGTTCCCACCCTTTTAGGGACACACACCCCCCTCCAACTCTTGGGGATCCCCCACCTTAATGGGAACCCCCTCCTAACCCTTGAGGACCCTATTGGGGATCCCCCCCCGGGATCCCACCCCAAAACCCCCAGCCATGGGGACCCTGCACCCCAATATCGCTCTCAGGGTCCCACCCCAAAACCACCTATGATGGGGACCCTGCACCCCAATATCGACCCCAGAGACCCCCACGGGTCCCCACCCTTTTAGGGACTCCCCCAGCCTTGAGGACCCCCCAGCATAATGGGGACCCCCCCCAAATGTTGAGGACCTTATTAGGTCCCCTTCTTTTGGGGACCCCCCCACCTTAATGGGGACCCCTGCAAGGTCCTGCCCCCCAATTACCCCCAGCCATGGTGATTTCCCCCTCCCCCCAATGAGGGGCCCCCCAAGGTCCCCCCATTTATTGGGGACCCCCCCCAGCCACTGCAGCCCCCCAATAAACGTGTGTTCCCAGCACCCCCAGCTGCCGCCAATGGGGGGGACGTGGCTTCACTTGGGGCGGGGCTTGGGGTGCCCCCCCAATATAGGGGCTCCTCCGGGGTGCACACACCCACCCCCCCTCCCAGCGATGGCGGCCGCGCTGGTGCTGGCGGGGCTGGGGGCGGGGCGAGGCGCGGGAGGCGGGGCCGAGGGGCAGGGCCGGCGCATGGGGCTGAGTTTGGGGGGGGGGGGGGGGGCCACCCCAAAACGGCCCCCCACCCCCCTGCCAGACCCTAACACCTCCCCCGAACCCCCAAAACCTCCCGTTGGGAGACCCCAAAATCCGCCCCCAGACCCTTCAAGAAACACTCCATCCATCCGCTTCCCTCCATCCATCCACCCACTGAGCCAGCCAACCAGTCAAACCTCTGCCCATCCATCCGCAGCTCCATTCGTTCAACCAAAGAGTCCCTTGATCAAACCCTCCTGCCACCAATCTGTCCTTCCAATCCTCCAAACGCTCCCACGCAAACATCTGGCCAGCCCCCACTCAGCACACAAGAGGAACCCATTTCACAACCGTCCCAAGCACCAGCACAGGCCCGGTCCCAGCTCCTGCCGTGACCCAAACCCAGAGCCCAAAGGGGACGGGGATGGGATGGGACCTGCAGGTGCCCCCTCACCTGTGACGGCGTCGGTGGAGACGGGGCCCAGACGTTTCCGACCCCACGCCCCGTACAGGTTGAACTTGTAGCGGCGCGACGGGGACAGCCCCGGCACAGGTCACCGTGTGGGAACCCCCGTCCACGGGCAGCACCTGCGGCTGGCCTTGGGCATCCCGGTACTGCACCGTGAAGGAGTCAAAGGTGCCCTTGGGGATGCTCCACTCCAGCTCCACGGACTCAGGGGGGACGTGGGAGGCCTTGAGCTCACCCAGGGTTGGCTGCAATGGTGGTTCCTCTGGCTCGGCTGGAGCTGTAATAGAGAGGTGACAAAGCAGGAGATAAACATCCATCCATCCATCCCTCCGTCCATCCACCCATCCATCTGTCCAACCATCCATCCGTCCATCTGTCCAACCATCCATCAATCCAGCCAGTCACCAAGTCACCCAGCCTTCAACCAATCCAACCAACCATCAAATCACACATCCATCTCTCCGGCTCTTTCTCCACTCATCCACGCAGGCCAACATCCCTTCACCATACATTTTGCATGAACAATCTTCCACCCCTGAGGCAACGCATTCAGCCAGCCAACCAACCATTAAGAAGGCCAGATCCCAGCACAACATTCTGTCCAGTCATCCATGTATTTATCAACCCATTCATCCCTCCACCAAATTCTCTAGTCATTCATGTGTCTGTCTGTCCATCCATCCATCCATCCATCCATCCATCCATCCATCCATCCATCCATCCATCCATCCATCCATCCATCCATCCATCCATCCATCCATCCATCCATCCATCCATCCATCCATCCACCTCATCATCCCTCTTTCCACATTTCTGGACCATTCATTCCTGCACCCTCCACCCAGTCATCTCTCCATCACTCTGCGAAAGCAGTCATCTGCCCATTTCACCATCGTCTATCCAGCATTCCATTCTTTCGGTGAGAAGTTTTTGCTGTGGGCCTAAAAGTGCTATTCTGGCTCTGCTGAAGATTTGTGTGTTCCCAGTGAAAGGAAGCAGCTAGACAGGGATTGCTATGTGCAGCATGGTAGTTTGGAGGAAACAGTGCTGCACAGCGACGATCGTCCATGTAGGTGCTTTCTGTGAGAAGTTTTCGCTGTGGGCCTAAAAACGCTTATTCTGGCTCTGATTAGTGTTTTTGTGTTCCCAGTGAAAGGAAGCAGAGATAGGCGGATTGATATACCAGTGGAAAGGTAATATTTTTATTGAAACCCTTTCTGCTGCTTTTGGGGGGAATTTGGAAGGGAGTATTAGAAGGAAAAGTAGCCTTTTTTTTTTTTTTTTTTTTTGTATTTCAAATGAGAGATTGTTATCTATGCAGGTAACATTTTTAAAGAACTTTTTGTTTAAAAGAAAGCTATTAATAAAGAGGACTTTTCTTCCTCTTGGAAGACAAAAGAAATAAAAGGTTTATTATTTCATAGCGCCCAGACATCTGGAGAGGAATGTGAATAGCGTTAAAAGTACCTGGTGCAGTCTGCAGTGTGCGTAGTGTTTCTTTATACAGTATTAGGCCTGGCAGGATGAGAAACTGCTAATTGTCCTGGGCATATGACCTGTGTTTTGATATATTTTCAAAAGCAGACACATCAGGAAGCACACACCTTTTTATACTTGAAAAGGTGGCATGAACTGGAACTTGAAGCACTGGAGTTTCATGGGCTTTTTAGGTATGTGATGGGGTAATGAGATGGTTATTGTGTGACAGAAATTACTGCTGAAGAGTTAAGTAAAAAGCAAGATTTTGTCCAGAATTTTTTTAAAAATAAGAATGGATGAAGAACAGTTTTCTCTGGTGCATCGAAATATTTTTTGTCCTCTTCTAGAAGAGAGTGTCTTTGGGTGCGGAATTACGAACAATCCCCCAGGAAGAAGCATTCAATTGAAGAGCTAAAATAGCCTTTCCACACATGTTAATTCCCTCTTCGGTAGGGAATGCAGGACAGGGATCACTTTAGAAGAAACTTCTATTTACAAGCTCTAACAGCTTTGTACATGATGATTTCTTTCATGAGATATCTCAACCACTTATAATGTATTCTTACATTTTCAAATATCAAACAAACGTAGTGACAGATGCTGCAGAGCAGCTGAGGAGATAGCTCTCTCCCTGTGATTGAGTTATTACGTATTCCATTAGATAGTGCTGCTCAGCTGAGCTTTTGAAGGCGGAAGGTATGATTAACAGAGGAGGAAAGGCTTCTTATTAGTTACAGTAATGCACTGCCAATTGTAGGGGTGATCAAATATTGGTTCAGTCTTACCACTGTTGCTTACTTTTAATTGGTATGAGTATATTTGATAAAGATGACGGAACTGCCCAGCAGAACAGAGGCCGTATGCAAAGTCACAGCCTCACTGCTCCTCTCGTTTAAGATCAGATTTATGCAGACGGACAAGACAAAGACGTATGAGAAAAACAGTTCAACAAGTGCCACGAGGTCATGATATTGAACCTGAAAAATGAATCTGTTCATTACTTGAACAATGTAACAAGGCAGTTTATAAGGAATATGCTTATTTATTGTAAATGCTACAGCTAAGCAAATGATTTTTGGTTTAGCTGGATTTCAAATTCTCACTTTCATCAGCATTATCTTGCCAAATATGCTCCCAAGCATATTTTAAATTAGGATTTCACACTAGTGATTGCCTTTTTTTTTCCCCTCAAAGGATGAATTAGTTCACAATAAAAGATGCATATTAAGCAATTTATTATGCTAATGACTGTCCTGGGTTGAATGAGTGGTGGAGTTTTTTGGTGGCAGGGGAGGGGGCTATCGGGGCAGCCCCCTGTGAGAAGCTTCTTGAAGCTCCCCCAGCTCCACGTCAGCTCCACTTCTGTTTGGGAAATTGAGCCAATCGGCTGCGCCTCTGCGATAACGTATTTAAGAAGGGACTGTGGTGACGGGCAGTCGGACTTGTGAGGAGGAGTTGCTGCAGCTGCATGAACACCAAGGTCAGTGGAGGAACGGAGGAAGAAAGGAGGGGGGAGGTGTGCCGGAGCAGAGACCCCCCTGTATCCTGTGGTGAGACGGCAGGGTGGCCCCCCCCGCCACCCATGGAGATCTACGGTGGAGCAGACACTGATTTATGGCCTGTGGCTTCTGCTTGGCATAATCAAGGTGCTGTGCCCGAAGAAGGCCGGGGTCTCATGGGAAAAGGCAGCCCCGCTGCTGTAATTCAGCGCTGGGAGGATTGCAGCATGCGGGGGAGTCCCACGCTGGAGCAGCTCGGGAAGGGCTGCAGCCGTGGGAGGGAATCCAGTCGGAGAAGTTAGTGACCCATGACGGAGCAGTGTGGGGAACGCTGCGGCCCATGGGAGGAGCTCATGTTGGAGAAAGTTTGTGGAGGACTGTCTCCTGTGAGAGGGGGGGACCACGATGGAGCAGGAGGAACAAGTTTCGGACACTCCCCTCACTGAAGTGGCATCCCTGCCTGCACCCCCCATTCCCTGCCCCTGCGCCACTGGGGGAGGAGGTAGAGATATCAGGAGCAGAGCTGAGCCCGGGGAGAAGGGAGGGGTGGGGGGAAGGTGTTCTCAAGATGTGGCAATGCTTCTACTATCCTACTCTGTTATGTGTTGTTAGTGTCTGTAATAAATGTCTGTTCTTTTTTTCCTCTCCTAACGAGTCTGCCTTTTGCTCGTGATCATAAAGGGGAATTTTCCCCCATCCC